TTCCTTCCTGACTTCCTTAGAAGATGGACTGTGATGCAGAACTGTAAGCTGAAATAAACCCTTTCCTCCCCGAGTTATGGTATTTTATCACAGCAATGGAAACCCTAAGACACTGTGGAAGAAGTGATTGGTGGTGTGGGGTTGGCTAAGGACAGCGAGGGTGGGGTGTCTGGTATGGCAATGGCTTCAGAAGCCTCCAAAACATGAATGTGGTGTCTTAGTCTTTCCAGGCTGCTGTAGCAGTTCTGTAGACTGCCTGGCTTAAACAAAACCATTTCCAATTCATGGGCAGAACTGCTGCTTGCCCTGCCTTGTGGGTGCTCACCTTGCTATGTCCTCACATGGTATCTCTGTGTTGTAGAGAGATCTCTGATGGTTCTTCTTAGAAAAGGAAAATGGAATATTTATGTGTGTGTGGAGCTCCCAGACCCACCCGGATGACGTCATTTATGGTAGTTTCATAACAATTGGGGGTATTTGTATGAAGCAGTACAAAAAGATGTAGTCAGTTGCAAAATCAATGCTCGTTTGCAACCCAGAACTCATTGTTAGGTGTGAGTTCTGACCCACACAAGAAGGACCACAAACTCAAGACAACACCAAGTGATAAGGTTTGTAGTAAGAGTAAGTTGATAATAAAAACAATGCGTTCCCCGAAAGATGTATCCCCCATACGCTAGGGCTGAGACTTTAATGTATGAATGGGACATGATACAGACCTTCACAGGAAGCAAGGAGCACGAAGACCAGTGACGCAGAAGTTGGTTTCTGAAGGTGCTCTCACTCACCTCCAATGAATCACGTGGCACGTTCGTGGTTGGTAGTTACGAATCTCTCTTGAGCACTGATGACATTTTGGGATCTCGGCTATGTTTTCTGTAGTGATAACAAAGCAAATTTAGTCAAATGGTCCCACTGTTTACTGTTGCAGGTCTGAGCCAAGGGTGTCTGGAGACCTCTCTTCCTTATGCCGTTCTGGCTAATTTCGGGGACTGGGGATGAGCAGTGTAGCCTGCTAGCTCAGCCCCTTTCTGACTTGGGTGTGTTCTTCAAATAGGCAGAAAAGACATGGGCAATATGTATGTTCAAGCATTAATTATATTCCTTATTAGCTTCAATCGGCTGTAATCGCTGATCAGACTCATTGCTTTGAAGTGTGAGAAAGAAATTTCAAATGATACATTTCAGTCCTTCTAATTGCGCTTGGAGCAGGCGAGAGCACTGGGGTCTGGGTTCAGAAGCACGGGGTCTTCTGCCCCACAGGATCCATCAAAGTCCAAGCAGCTCTGAGCTTTTAGCAAGCACAGAGGTAAAAAAAAAATTGGCAAATCAAAGCGAGGAAATCCCACACCACCGGCACCCAGAAGAGTGTTCTTGGGAGTCAACCCTGCTTTTGATGTTTAGATTGCATTTGTTTTTCCACACTGATCGTTTCTGGTATTATGTACACATTTGGAAGTTCTAGCCTAATGTTAATGGCCCTGACCTATTTCATGCCTCGATGTTGTGGAGCAGTTTCCTTGGAGCCAGGAAATTACAGCAGATGGGGGTAACACATGTTCCACCTGGGGGTTCAAACGCCTCACTGCCCTGCTGTGTCCATGAGGGCTCCTGAAATTTTGTAGGCTGGACAAGTGAAGCCCAGTCGTACTTTGGACAGCCTTACAACACAGGCCTGGGGAGACCGCACTGTGCAGTGCCTGTCCCACAAGTGTGATGACCTCAGTTTGGTCCCCCAAACTCAAGAAAGAAAGAAAGAAAGAAAGAAAGAAAGAAAGAAAGAAAGAAAGAAAGAAAGAAAGAAAGAAGAAAGAGATGTGGTGGTAGACACTCATAGTTCCAGCACCGAGGAGGCAGAGACAGGAGGATCCTGGGGCTGCTCTGCCAACCTGGAAGAATTTGCCAGCTCCAAGTCAGAGTAAGAGATGCTGATGAGAAACCCTGAGTTTTCAAGGGGAGGGGAGGAGGGGCAGGCATGGGAACAGTTGGAGAGGGAGAGGAAGGGGTGGAAGGAATGTAAAGGTAATACTTGGTGTGAAATTCTCAAGGAAGTTAAAACATAAAACCCTCTAATAAAAAAACAGGTTAGACAGAGTCCTGAGGAATGGTACCTGTCCTCTGCCCCCCCCACACCTGCACACACATGTAGACACACACACACACCCTTGCACATGCATATGGACACACACACACACCTGCACACACATATGGATACATACACACACCTGCACATACATATGGATATATATACACACACACCTGCACACACATATGGATACATACACACACCTGCACATACATATGGATATATATACACACACACCTGCACACACATATGGATACATACACACACCTGCACATACATATGGATATATATACACACACACCTGCACACACATATGGACACACACACACACACCTGCACACACACATGGACACATACACACACCTGGACACACATGTGGACACATACACACACTTGTACACACATATGGACACATACACATACCTGCACACACACATGGACACATACACACACCTGGACACACATGTGGACACATACACACACTTGTACACACATATGGACACATACACATACCTGCACACACACATGGACACATACACACACCTGGACACACATGTGTACACATACATACACCTGCACATACATATGGACACACACATACACACCTGCACACACATATGGACACATACACACACCTGCACACACATGTGGACACATATACACACCTGTACACACATATGGACATATACACAGACCTGCACACACATATGGACACATACACACACCTGCACATACATATGAACACATACATACACTGCACATGCATGTGCACACATGCACACACCTGTACATATATACACCTGCACACACATGTGTACACGCATACATATGAACACATGCATACATCTGAACACACATGTGTACACATGCACAGCTGAACACACATGTGTACACATGTACACCACATAATACACAACATTATGGTCCAGAGGGCACGAATGAGGACAGTGCCACACAGGGCAGCATGCTGCAGTGCCAGGAGGAGAATGACCGTCATGCAAAGAGAAGGATTGGCATCCAGCCTCAGCCATGATTCTCAGAGGAGCCCTTGGACGTGGGCCATGAAGGAAGCTGACCACCAGCCAGGGTGGTCTCCAATGGCTGGCGTGGGCTGGATCTCTGTGGACTGAGTTAAGTTTCCAGGTGCCACAGGAGTTCTTACTCTGGTCCATCCCCAGAAAGGCTCTCCATCGCCTCCAGCAGCCAGGGGCTGATTCGTGTTTTATGCGACTCCCCCTTTTCACCCAGGCTTTGCTGTGGACGTATGAGGCTGGCCCATAGAGCGCCATAATCTCTCACCAGGAGACATGCTCATGCTTGTCACTCTAGGAACAATGGATTCTGCTTTCAGGCCACTTCAGCTTAAGTATTATCCATGCACAGTGGGAGTGCAGGACATTAGAAAATTGGTGGCTTCCCTGGCAGCCATGAATTTGGAGGATTGAGTCTGCTACAAGTTCCCCAGTAAGAGTGACATGTCCTCCCCTGGTGCCTGGTGTGCACATGATTTCTGGGGCTCATTTGAGACAGGATGAGACTAGCCACTGCTAACCTTGTGATGGTATACCAATAATAAAAGTATCCACTTGTCTTTGTTCCTCATCCTATCACCAGTTCAATAAAATCCCTGGGATATCCTGAATGGGACTCTCACATGAGGTGCCCTGGCTGTGACCACAAAGAGCCTCCTGAAGGGAGGGCCAGTGTCCTGGTTAGTTTCATGTCAGCGTGACACAAGCTACAGTCATCTGAAAGGAGGGCAACTCAAATGACAAAATGCCTCCGTAGGATCCAGCTATAAGGCTGGGCATTGGTGGCGCACACCTTTAACCCCAGCACTCGGGAGGCAGAGACAGGCAGGTCTCTGTGAGTTCAAGGCCAGCCGGGTCTACAAGAGCTAGTTCCAGGACAGCCTCCAAAGCCACAGAGAAACCCTACCTCCAAAAAAAAAAAAAAAAAAAAAAGATCCAGCTGTATTGCATTTTCTTATTATCAATTTATGTGGGAGGGGTCAGTCTATTGTGGGTGGTGTCATCCCTGGGCTGCTCCTGGGTTCTATAAGAAAGCAGGTTGAGCAAGTCATGAATAGCAAGACAGTAGACAGCACCCACCCCCATGGACTTTGCATCAGCTCCTGCCTCCAGGATCCTGGCCAGTTTGCGTTCCTCTCCTGACTTCTCTCAGTGGACTGTGACTCTAGATGTGTAATCCAAGTAAACCCTTTGCTTCTCAACTTGCGTTTGGTCATGGTGTTTCATCGCAGCAATAGTAACCCTAAAGAGGACAGAAATTGGTACCGGGAGTAGGGTGTTGCTGCAACAGACCTGACCATGTTGTTTTGGGGGAGGATTGTGGAAGTACTTTGGAACTCTGGGCTAGAAAAGCCATTGAGTGTTGAGAGCTCAGTGAGCTGCTCTGTGGGAACTTGGGAGACAATATTGAAAACAGTGCAGAGGATGGAGGCCTGGCCTGTGATGTTCCTGAGGGAAGACTGAGCATCACGTAAAGACTCTATCGGGGCCATTTGCTGTTTTGAGTTGATAATCTGTGGTTCTGGTTAGCTGGGCCTGAGGAATCACCTGTGAAACACAGAAACCCTTGCTTTACTGGTCAGCTGGAGCTGAGCAGTTAGCAGAGATTGAGACCAGCATCAACATGAAAATCTGGGAAGTGTTTCCTCAGGGTCAGCACACAGAGCTGTGTTCCTGAGGTGGCCACGGTTGTACACAGACATGCACACCACAGACATACACCCCATACCACAAGCATGTGCACCACGCAGGCATGTGCACCACACAGGCATGTGCACCACACAGACACGAACAGTACACAGACATGCACACCACAGACATACACCCCATCCCACAAGCATGTGCACCACGCAGGCATGCACCCCACACAGGCATGTACACTACACAGACACGAACAGTACACAGACATGCACACCACAGACATACACCCCATCCCACAAGCATGTGCACCACGCAGGCATGCACCCCACACAGGCATGTACACTACACAGACACGAACAGTACACAGACATGCACACCACAGACATACACCCCATCCCACAAGCATGTGCACCACGCAGGCATGCACCCCACACAGGCATGTACACTACACAGACACGAACAGTACACAGACATGCACACCACAGACATACACCCCATCCCACAAGCATGTGCACCACGCAGGCATGCACCCCACACAGGCATGTACACTACACAGACACGAACAGTACACAGACATGCACACCACAGACATACACCCCATCCCACAAGCATGTGCACCACGCAGGCATGCACACCACACAGGCATGTACACTACACAGGCATGCACTCCACACAGGCATGTACACTACACAGACACGAACAGTACACAGACATGCACAC